CTTGTCTGACCCGTCTTGTGCAATACTTACAAATCACGAGAGGCTTCCCACGGTACCGTATCTGTTTGGACATGCGCAATATGGCCTCATCCTATGCAAATTAGTTGGTTCACCGTGTGGTCAGTGGGTCGCGGCGGGTCTTTGTTCCCTCGTGCTAATTACGCAACCATGCAGCTGATACGGAAATGGGCGTGTTCGGGGGTGCGGGTGGAGGTCGGGGGGAGGGGGGAGAGACCGCTGGGTGGGGATGTCCCTAACTCGACCCCCCTCTGGCCTTACCCCCGGGTTGGACGGGACACTGGCGGGATGCATGTGTTTATAAAGTATTGTAGAAGCTCTCACCAAGAAAATGTTCTTGTTATAAATACAACCATATTCTGGTAATGGTGTGATAACACCAAATATTGATTGATCGTGTAACCTTAGTTACTTAATAGCCGTAAGCCGCTTCCCACATCCCGCATCCCCCGTCACAAGTGGGACTTGGGCAACAACGGCCGAGCAACTCGTACATGCCGTGGAGCCCCCAAATTAGTCTCTCTTACTGTATACTATGAACTTTATTAAACAATCACCCCATTGTTCTTAGCTATGTAGCATTCCATTCTCTGATATTAGGTATACAACTCGAAACAAGTTTAAGATCTCCCACAATTGGAAGGATGTGTGTTGCAATACCCACCAGCCACGACAGAGTGCAATACCCACCAGCCACGACAGAGTGCAATACCCACCAGCCACGACAGAGTGCAATACCCACCAGCCACGACAGAGTGCAATACCCACCTGCCACGACAGAGTGCAATACCCACCAGCCACGACAGAGTGCAATACCCACCTGCCACGACAGAGTGCAATACCCACCAGCCACGACAGAGTGCAATACCCACCAGCCACGACAGAGTGCAATACCCACCAGCCACGACAGAGTGCAATACCCACCAGCCACGACAGAGTGCAATACCTACCCACCAGCCACGACAGAGTGCAATACCTACCCACCAGCCACGACAGATTAACTATATTCGCATGAAAAATAGTCAGTGTTCTTTAACTTCTCTTGAGTATCATATATTAATCGACTTAAGGTGTCCTTTTATACTCAAGGGTTCCTTTACAGAATTATTTATATTAAACGTTTTACATGATTATATTTTCTAATATGAACAAAATGGCTGTATGTCCGTCCACCCTAAAGGTCCAGCTTTGTTTGAGGTTAAGGTCACTGTGACCCAAACCACGTGACATTTGGGTCGAGTGATACAAAATACACGGTTTTATTGCGCAAACGTGCCACGTAGAAATAGTGACAATTTTCAATAAACTATGTAAAATATAAGTCAGGATAACTATTCAAAGTACCAAAACAAGATATTATGTTATGACCTTGCATTTTCTATCGTATGTATTTCAGATTTTACATGATAGCAGATTAGTTCTGTGTTACCTGGTTCATTATTTGAAAGAGGTAGACTAAATATTTCTGTGATGTTAAGGCTTTGAAAATAATTATGTTTTTAAGAAAAGAGAATTAAACAGGGAGTGCCTTACACCTGAATATTTACTACAAGACATCAGATAGTGTTCTTCATCTTCAAGGACTGAGCAGTGATGATCACAGTGGCGTTCGTCCAAAGGTGAAGGTGGTCTTGTTAGGTGGTTCAGTGTTAGTCTGTGATCGATGTCTTAGCTTGGGGAAGTGGGTACGGTGGTTTTTTTTATATCTTGCAGTGTTCAAGTTTAATTTCTGATTCAAATTTTCTATATGTTCTTGGTATGTTTCTTGAATTCAATTTATTGGGTTTATCTCGAAGAGATAAGTGGATTATTTCTGTACATTTTGATTGTTGGTCCTTAATAACAGAGGAAAAGATTTTTTTCTAGGAGGCATGTGAATTTATAGTACTGTCCAATGTTATGTTTGGCCATTGATCATTAAAAGTATGTTTTTAAACAATATTGGGAATTGAACAATCGATTGAATTACCTTTACGTGTAAGTGTAGTGTAAGCATGCATTGCGCATGACCAAGATGTTGTTGCGGTGCAGTTTGTTGTGTGACAAAGACGTCACCAGCGCACATTACCAGTGGAGGTTACCAGCGGAAATGCACATCACCAGCGGACATGCACATCACCAGCGGACATGCACATCACCAGCGGACATGCACATCACCAGCGGACATGCACGTTACCAGCGGACATGCACATCACCAGCGGACATGCACATCACCAGCGGACATGCACGTTACCAGCGGACATGCACATCACCAGCGGACATGCACATCACCAGCGGACATGCACATCACCAGCGGACATGCACGTTACCAGCGGACATGCACATCACCAGCCGACATGCATATCACCAGCGGACATGCACATCACCAGCGGACATGCACATCACCAGCGGACATGCACGTTACCAGCGGACATGCACATCACCAGCGGACATGCACATCACCAGCGGACATGCACGTTACCAGCGGACATGCACGTTACCAGCGGACATGCACATCACCAGCGGACATGCACAACACCAGCGGACGTGGGTGAAGGGAGAAGAGGTGTGTGTCGTTTATTACAGCTACACTCAATGGTACGCTGTTTACCTGTTGTCATGACAACACACCATGCACGTGGCCTGGGCCCTAAGGGAGTTGCAGCAAGTCTTGCGTTCGATTTCAAACCCCTGCACGGCCCAGGTGAACCCTGATTGACCATGGTATAACCCAAGTTAACCTATGTTTACAACGTTAGCCCATGTTAACTGATTTACGTCCTACTTTGGTTGACCTGAATTGTCTATACTGAACCCCTGGGGTGCGGTGCTCGGGGCAGCAGCCCCCATCTGACGTCATCGCTCAAAGTAATTAGTTTCGTATATTTATTCAGCCATTATAAAAAAGAAAGTATTGACAGTATATATCATAGGCGGATCCAGGGGGGTATATATATATATATATGTATTTCTATATACCTGTATGTGTCAGGGACATTTTACATTCGAGTGTTGATATACGTACTTTACTATCAATAATGCAACTTTGATGATGATTTGGCATCTGTGTTGATGTTCCACGCGTTAGTGTGAACTTTCTTGTCGTGTACATGCTTCAAATAGAAAATATGCAATGGCAACTTCGTCAAGAAATAACTTACTTGTTAACCTCTCAAAGGTGTGTGTTATAGTCATGGAGGTTGTGTTTCTCCCAGTAGATAGTTTGAATTGCATCTAAGGTTGTGTTTAATGTGTGTTATTTCGGGCACTGCTCTGTTATTCTTGATTAACACTGGATAACTCAAGCTGAGTCTTGTCAACCCTGCCAGAATTGTGGTAACCTCGGTAAACTAAGGTCACTCAAATATAGAAAAATCGAAGCATGTAATGTTACATAACTGCACGCGCCGCACCCGCGTTGGCCGTCAGTTTATCGGTAATGGACGCCAAGTAGCACCAGGCGCGTGGCGTGACGTAACATGACGTAACATGACGGTGTAGTAGATGGAGTTGATAGGTGCGTTACAGCTGACTCGAACCTGAACTCTTGACCCGTCGCCAGGCTTCACAGGGGATGCACGGTGAAAACTGTAAATACGGAAATGTTGGCCCTACAAGATGGAGCGTGACGGGTCACCGTGACCAGAATTTGTATACACTGTGATATAGATGGTACAGGATAACACAAATAACATATATGTATATACGTAGACTACACTGTCACACAGATGTGGGATAACACCACATAGGTATAGGATAACACAAATAACATATATGTATATATGTAGACTATACACTGTCACACAGATGTGGGATAACACCATATAGGTATAGGATAAAACCACATAGGTATAGGATAACACCACATAGGTATAGGATCACACCACATTTATGTAGGCTACACTGTCATTTAGATGGATAACACCACATAGGTTTAGGATAACACCATATAGGTAGAGGATAACACAACATAGATCCGGGATCTTGGGTTTCACCAGCATGGCAAACCTCTCATGGTCACATAAATAGTATTTTTAATGATTTGAATTTAAAGTAAAATGAAACCTTAACAAAACACTGACTTTTGGAAATACAGCTATGAACAAGCTGACCCGTGAAGATCCGGGGTAGAATAGGTCTTCAGTTACCCATTCTTGACGTCAGAGGTGTCTATGCTTGTCGTAAGAGGCGATTAACGGGATCGGGTGGTCAGGCTTGCTGTTTTGGTTGATGTATGTCATCGTATCTCAATAGCGTTGATCGATGCTCATGATGTCAATCATTGGATTGTCTGGTCCAGACTCGATTATTTACATACCGCCGTCATATAGCTGGAATAGTGCGGAGTGTGGCGTTAAACAACAAACCAACAAACAAACAAAAGGTACAGGATAACACCACACATATGTAGGCTGTACTGTCACATAGATGTGGGATAACATATATACATGGGAAACACTGTGACATAGATGTAAGGATACATTGCCCTCCGACATACAGGCGTCAGACGGCACTGCCTAGCCGAATCCACACAAGCCACGTGGTTTCAGGGCGCGTGCAAGTGTAAACTCATGTGGTGATATCACAACACATATACTCTTCTACCCAATACGAATGAATGCACCCCCACCTTTTCCAATAACCCGAAACCGCCCTTGTCGATGACTTTGCCGTACGCTTTATGATCCAAAACGAGTGCTTCACACACACTCTGCCCATGACAGACATTTTTTCAACTTGGTTCACGAATCCGTCGACTCTAACAAATTGAAATGTTAAAAAAAAATTGAAAGCAGCGTTTTTCATTCCGCCCATCAGAAATAAGTAAAATGGGTTTTTAAAAAAAAATACTCATTTAAGGTCGCGCTCAATATAATTTGAAGGGCATCCTGCCTGCGGGGATGTGACGGGTGTGGTTGTCTTGTCTGAACAGATTTGCCATCCGCTTCTTTCAGTGTCACGTCCTAGGTGGGTTCATGTAGAGTCATCTCCCCTTTAAAGCTCTTCTCGCGTGAAACCAGTGTTTTTAAGAAAAAGGAAGCGCCAAGATGAAACTGAAGCCGAAAGATGGAGAGAGCTGCCCCGATAAAGTAGAAATAAAAAGGCTATGGGAACTGAATTGTAAAGAAAGTTTCAATGTGATATGTGTTGGCGCTCTGTTCAGGTAATGACAAATGCGTTTTATACTACAGAAGAGCAGTCTGTCAATATAATTAGGCAAACATGGCACCGGTTAAGCACAGACTGACATTGCCGAGTGACAACATGTAATATCAGTCGATGGTGAATGCTTACTGGTTCACTTCTCTTGCAGACAGAATGGCATGGCTGTGGTGACAGGGGGAGAGGATGCGATTGTGCGATGCTACAACCTGACACCATCAGGGAGCCTGGCTTCCCTTGTCCCACAGGTAGGCAAACCCTGAACCTTTGTAAGATCACATCAGCCGACAGGGTTCGTGGCCATCTCTATTCCATTCAAAGTTGTCCTTGAGGGTATTCCTATGCGGAATACGCCCCAGTATGCTTGTCATAAAGGGATTTGACGTCGACCGTTCTGAAGGTTTGTTTCTAAAGAATAACTCCTGAGCTTACTCTGTCGGTTCTGCTAGCCTTATTCAGGTTCTGCGAGCACCTTTAGAATACAGTACCACAGCTAACCGACTGAGCTATGTCCACACTGTGAAACAAAGTGCAATTACAAGAAAAACGAAATAAAAAATATATAAAAAATGAAAGTGCTTTTGTAAACTATAGCACTGGGTGTATTCAATGACATTGTGTGTAGAGATGATAGATCACTGGGATGAGCTTATGCACACTCAGTGACCCCTGACGTCACAGGGCATTAATTCGCTGGTGTGACTGGCAACAAAATACTACAAATTACGTCATGGGGTATTGTCACGTGTTTGAAAAGTTAGTGGTACTGGATTCTAAAGGTAGGCCTGTTTCTGCTCCAGGGAGCACACTGCGGGTGTAGACTTATCCTGTGACCGGACTTTTCTCTTGTTTGTAAACAAACACACTTATTCTGAAATAACAACTGGGTCTAATGCAAGCCTTTCGGTGAGCTTTACATATTGTTTTGCATACTACAACAACTGCAACAGTGAGGTGTATGACTATAGCTTCACACATCCAAGTAACCATATAACTAGCTCTCTGTAGGGTCATAATGACCACATATTTTTTTCTAAATGTGGAGACTCGTCCTAAAATGAAACAAAAGGAAAATACATGAATGAAGTGTGTAAGATGTGACGATGTGTAATAGGCTCAGGGTCTTGTAACACAAAAAATAGCAGCTACACCATCTATGGTCACACCCAGTGTCAGTACTATATAAAAGGAAAGGGATGTAATGAAGCCAACTCATCAACTTAGTTCGAGGACGAATTCAACAATGTCCACAGTTAATGCCTCTATAAAACTATACACTCATTTCAAGCCAACACATTTAGCTACACAATGAGACATGGATGAAAAAAAAATGAAGCCATACTTTGGGAACAAGTGTCTTCAGAAGCTCAAAATATCATGATGTTCCAATTCCGAGCCAAAATCCCTGCTTAGACATTGTTCCACCGATTTACTGGTTTTGTTTGTTTATTAGATCGTGTACACAAATAGCCTGCTCCAAAACATGTTGAATCGATGGCTCCCATCAGTCTGCCCATCGCCATTCTTTCCGCGACACAGAGGCCTGATGGCATAATGAGTTTATGTTCATTTAATCGTCTTAATAACCCTTTGCCTTTGCCTTGGCACCGCCCACCATAGACGACCTTGGCCTCGACATACCCTGCACTGAAAAATGTCGCGTCAGACAATTTGAGGAGAAAATTTCTTCGTGGATATTTTATTTATAGCCAATCAGATCACTGGCATTTTTCAGTGCGGGGTATCTCAAGGCCAAGGTTTAAGGAAAATAAAAGGTGAATTTATCAGTAAATAAACAATTCAGTGGTTTGGTGTCGAATACATTGGCAAGTGGATATAAAAAGTTGGCCCCGTAGGTTATCTCCCTTTAACTTCTGAATCCCCAGGTTTATTTGTAAATTTTGCTGTTCATTAAGTGTGTTCATATGGAGACTAATATCATGAGTTTGTCAAATGTAATTTCAAAAGTTTGTTTGTCACAGGTGTATTAAAATATCCAATGCAACAAGCTACTTTTTGTTGGAGGGTGCCATTTACCTCCCATATAACTTGTTAGCCTGTGGATGCTTTCAGATTACATTGGAGACCAAGAGTGGGCCCATTCAGACCATGGTTATCCATGACATGACCAAGTTCTATAACAACGACCTGATCGTGGGCGACTCCCTGGGTGCCCTGACTGTCATCTGTAACCAGCAGATACTGAGTCGACAGAGCGTCTCCCCCAGCAGCATCAGCACCCTCCAGGTGTACCACGACACAGCGGGGACATCATCAGTCATCATGTGTAATGACTCGGGGTTGGTATCAGCAGTCCTGCCCTCTAGCGAACAGTGGAGGGTTGATCTCAATAGCACTGCTGGTGTCCCTGTGGTAAGCATTAAAACATACACAGGGTTTGACCTTGACTTACTTAACTAGAGGTCCAGGGGACCAGCAACTGTTAATTTCTAGGGTCCTGTAATGGAATGGTGTAGTGTACTGCCCTGTAAGATTTGATAATTACTCTAATTAACGGATCTTTTTGTTTCTTGACGAGAATTTGGTAAATAAATATTATTGTATCCCTCAGGATGTAATATATTATTTTGTTCTGTTTCGTTGTAAACCCTGCATTCAATAGTTGTGTGTGGTGTGGCAATAATGTTGGTGTCTCAGTAATGTTGATGTGGCAATAATGTTGGTGTCTCAGTAATGTTGATGTGGCAGTAATGTTGGTGTCTCAGTAATGTTGATGTGGCAATAATGTTGGTGTCTCAGTAATGTTGATGTGGCAGTAAGGTTGGTGTCTCAGTAATGTTGATGTGGCAATAATGTTGGTGTCTCAGTAATGTTGATGTGGCAGTAACGTTGGTGTCTCAGTAATGTTGATGTGGCAATAATGTTGGTGTCTCAGTAATGTTGATGTGGCAGTAAGGTTGGTGTCTCAGTAATGTTGATGTGGCAGTAATGTTGGTGTCTCAGTAATGTTGACGTGGCAATAATGTTGGTGTCTCAGTAATGTTGATGTGGCAATAATGTTGGTGTCTCAGTAATGTTGATGTGGCAATAATGTTGGTGTCTCAGTAATGTTAATGTGGCAGTAATGTTGGTGTCTCAGTAATGTTGATGTGGCAGTAAGGTTGGTGTCTCAGTAATGTTGATGTGGCAATAATGTTGGTGTCTCAGTAATGTTGATGTGGCAGTAAGGTTGGTGTCTCAGTAATGTTGACGTGGCAATAATGTTGGTGTCTCAGTAATGTTGATGTGGCAGTAATGTTGGTGTCTCAGTAATGTTGATGTGGCAATAATGTTGGTGTCTCAGTAATGTTGATGTGGCAATAATGTTGGTGTCTCAGTAATGTTGATGTGGCAGTAATGTTGGTGTCTCAGTAATGTTGATGTGGCAATAATGTTGGTGTCTCAGTAATGTTGATGTGGCAGTAATGTTGGTGTCTCAGTAATGTTGATGTGGCAGTAAGGTTGGTGTCTCAGTAATGTTGACGTGGCAATAATGTTGGTGTCTCAGTAATGTTGGTGTCTCAGTAATGTTGATGTGGCAATAATGTTGGTGTCTCAGTAATGTTGATGTGGCAGTAATGTTGGTGTCTCAGTAATGTTGATGTGGCAATAATGTTGGTGTCTCAGTAATGTTGATGTGGCAATAATGTTGGTGTCTCAGTAATGTTGATGTGGCAGTAATGTTGGTGTCTCAGTAATGTTGATGTGGCAGTAAGGTTGGTGTCTCAGTAATGTTGATGTGGCAGTAATGTTGGTGTCTCAGTAATGTTGATGTGGCAGTAATGTTGGTGTCTCACTAATGTTGATGTGGCAATAATGTTGGTGTCTCAGTAATGTTGATGTGGCAGAAATGTTGATGTCTCAGTAATGTTGATGTGGCAATAATGTTGGTGTCTCAGTAATGTTGATGTGGCAATAATGTTGGTGTCTCAGTAATGTTGATGTGGCAGTAATGTTGGTGTCTCAGTAATGTTGATGTGGCAATAATGTTGGTGTCTCAGTAATGTTGATGTGGCAATAATGTTGGTGTCTCAGTAATGTTGATGTGGCAATAATGTTGGTGTCTCAGTAATGTTGATGTGGCAGTAATGTTGGTGTCTCACTAATGTTGATGTGGCAGTAATGTTGGTGTCTCACTAATGTTGATGTGGCAGTAATGTTGGTGTCTCAGTAATGTTGATGTGGCAATAATGTTGGTGTCTCAGTAATGTTGATGTGGCAATAATGTTGGTGTCTCAGTAATGTTGATGTGGCAATAATGTTGGTGTCTCAGTAATGTTGATGTGGCAATAATGTTGGTGTCTCAGTAATGTTGATGTGGCAGTAATGTTGGTGTCTCAGTAATGTTGATGTGGCAATAATGTTGGTGTCTCAGTAATGTTGATGTGGCAGTAATGTTGGTGTCTCAGTAATGTTGATGTGGCAATAATGTTGGTGTCTCAGTAATGTTGATGTGGCAGTGATGTTTCACAGAGTTCAGTCTCCCCTCTGGCGGTGACGTCGCTGCTGACAGCGGAGCTGGTGGACCAGCAGGGCCGGGAGTGTAACTACGTCCTGGTGGCTGACAATGCCTGTCACATCTTCATCCTGAACCAGGGCGTGGTCATCATGGTGCTCACTGCACCAGCACCAGTCACCGCTGTGAGTAACATACTCCACCGAATACACCCCACTAGTGACACATGTAATACAACCCACTAGTGACACATGTAATACACCCCACTAGTGACACATGTAATACACCCCACTAGTGACACATGTAATACACCCCAATAGTGACACATGGAATACACCCCACTAGTGACACATGTAATACACCCCACTAGTGACACATGTAATACACCCCACTAGTGACACATGTAATACACCCCACTAGTGACGCATGTAATACACCCCGCTAGTGAAGCATGTAATACACCCCACTAGTGACACATGTAATACACCCCACTAGTGACGCATGTAATACACCCCACTAGTGACACATGTAATACACCCCACTAGTGACACATGTAAATACACCCCACTAGTGACGCATGTAATACACCCCGCTAGTGACGCATGTAATACACCCCACTAGTGACACATGTAATACAACCCGCAAGTGACACATGTAATACGCCCCACTAGTGACACATGTAATACACCCCACTTGTGACACATGTAATACACCCCACTAGTGACACATGTAATACACCCCACTAGTGACACATGGAATACACCCCACTAGTGACACATGTAATACACCCCACTGGTGACACATGGAATACACCCCACTAGTGACACATGTAATACACCCCACTAGTGACACATGTAATACACCCCACTAGTGACACATGGAATACACCCCACTAGTGACACATGGAATACACCCCACTAGTGACACATGTAATACACCCCACTAGTGACAACATGTAATACACCCCACTAGTGACACATGTAATACACCCCACTAGTGACACATGGAATACACCCCACTAGTGACACATGTAATACACCCCACTAGTGACAACATGTAAATGTCTATGACCTTCATCACTTCGGGCTTACCTCCCACATTAAGCTGACACACCGCAATATAACTGGAATACTGTTGAAAGCTGTGTTAAATCCAACTCACTCACTTCAGCTCATGGTACACACCAATAGTGATATATGAAACTCATTATCTTAAATCCTATGACTTGTTTTCATCAGATGTGTGAAGGCCGCTTTGTCGCGGTGGACAAGCTGGATCTGTCACCCCCAGGGAAAGATGCCCTGCCCACTCCCGCAGTCACCTCTAAACACTGCCACCAGGTGGCGCTAGGCACACAAACTGGCGCCATCTATCTCCTCCACAATTTTACTGTAAGTCACCCTTTCTTGCATTGTGTGTCTCTTCATTGCTTAAAAAGGGTTTATGTACTTTTTCTGGAATTATATAAAAGCTTTGACACAGGAGAACATTGAGTATGAAAGTGACAAGATGTTGTCCTGTTAAAAGAGGATTAGGTTTCAAGGTGGGCTGATGACACAGGTTAGTGATAAATTAAATAATTGTAGTTGTACCATCTGTTGTCAGATAACTGTTGATGAATTTGCCAACGCCCAGAGTCAAGTGACCAACATTGCCACACTGAGTCGGCCGGACTCCGACACCGACATGCTGCTGTGCTGTGGGCAGTTCAACCACCTCAACACCTACCATGATGGACAGGTGAGTAGCGGATTTCTCCTGCCGTCTGGCTGTCTCGTCTTCAGCGTACTGCCAGTGTTAAGGCTATTGTAATCTTTTCAATTTGGGGGCAAAAAAATAGTTTTTACAACTCATCCTGCATTACTCCTTATTGCATTTACTGCTTACCTTATGACAGAAACGAAGCTTGCGATGGTCTTAGCTGTGCGATGGTCTCAGCGGCAGACATTTTATTTCTGCCATAAGGTAAGCAGTAGATGCATTAAGGAGTGATGCAGGATAAGTAAACAAATGTAAAGAATATTTAGATTTTACTAAAACTCATTGCCTGCCTGTATACTATGTACATTCTCTACACAGGTGGTCCTGTATACTATGTACATTCTCTACACAGGTGGTTTTTTTGTGTGCATTATGCTCAACAACCTGCAGGAACCTTTTGCTGCATTGAAGTCAAGTCATTTTGATATATGGACCTACAAACTATAAAACTCTTAAATAAGACCTTAAACTTGGTGGCTGAAAATCTGTATTACCCATGGATAATCAAACATCCTAATGTCCTGAATTAACAGTATTTTGGTTATCATGAACACAAATATCCCATCCCAGCATGGTACGGTAGATGCTTGTAGTCATGTCCGTGTGTCCCTGTTTCAGCTGGTGGCTGAATTCCCAACTCCGGACTGGATCAACAGCCTGGCGGTGGCAGACATTGACAATGATGGTGTTGCAGAGGCCGTAGTTGGCTGTCTAGATCACTCTGTGCATGCTATTAAGATACTCTCCTGATGTCTGATGGTAGGGTAACTAGCTACAGTGCATATGAAGAGCACTCCTGCCGTATGCAAATGAGTCGTACCACACGAGGGGAGTCTAAGGCAAGTTCACAGTCAGTAGCCAGTGTGTGCACCGTGTGCATCAGCGCAGGACTCACACCTTTGCCTCATTCAGGCCACTAAACAGTCGAGAAAGTCCAGGGAAGGGCATTCCATATCTGAGGAAAGAAACAGAACTCCTGCAATGTTTTGGAAGACATCGTCAATGTTGCTCCACTTATCCTGGACATGATTGGTGACTTATCAAGGGATGTTGCAGGCCCAGGTAACACAGTAGCATTACGCGAGCAACTCTAGCTCCTTCTCCACTGATTGGCTGTCCACTGCAGGTGTCGTCTCCACCACTGGAGACGTCCTAGTAGATGTTTTACGTCAGATGGCTGGTGCATCACACATATGCTGTAGATGTGTAGCCGTCACTGGACTCTCCTTAAAGCTACATCTGTGTTGCCTGTGGTGAAGTATGTGTGTCATGTTTCAATCTCCTCAAAACGCTGAAAAAGTGGTGATTTCTGAACTCCAAAGATTGCTTAGAGTGACAATGAATGGGATTAGTTATATGGCACTTTATAATGAACATGTGAAGCAATTTCTCTGAAATATACCAGCAACAATTGGTTGTTTTTCTTCAAGCTTTTTCATAAACCTTTTTCCTGGTTCAAATCCAAAACTTCAAGATTTGTAAGTGAAAAAAGTTCAAGTCGCAAAACCTTTTGCCTTTGAGTATATGTGCTACCAGTACTGTGTACTGCAGTGTACTACAGTGTACTGCTATGTACTCCTGTGTACTACAGTGTACTCCTGTGTACTACAGTGTACTCCAGTGTACTGCTATGTACTCCAGTGTACTACAGTGTACTGCTATGTACTCCAGTGTTCTACAGTGTACTGCTATGTACTCCTGTGTACTACAGTGTACTCCTGTGTACTACAGTGTACTCCAGTGTACTACAGTGTACTGCTATGTACTCCAGTGTACTACAGTGTACTGCTATGTACTCCTGTGTACTACAGTGTACTACAGTGTACTGCTATGTACTCCTGTGTACTACAGTGTACTGCTATGTACTCCTGTGTACTACAGTGTACTACAGTGTACTGCTATGTACTCCTGTGTACTACAGTGTACTGCAGTGTACTGCTATGTACTACAGTGTACTACAGTGTACTGCTATGTACTCCTGTGTACTACAGTGTACTACAGTGTTCTACAGTGTACTGCTATGTACTCCTGTGTACTACAGTGTACTACAGTGTACTGCTATGTACTCCTGTGTACTACAGTGTACTGCAGTGTACTGCTATGTACTACAGTGTACTACAGTGTACTGCTATGTACTACTACTGTGACAAGATCAGTGTCCCAACCTTGGTGAGAACAGGTCCCTGGTGAGAACTGCTTGTCCTGAGTGATGGTGGCTACAAGGATCAGGTGTTGCGTGTCCTCCTCCCTGATTCCACGGCTGCAGATGGTTTTGTCTGTCCCAGGTTTGATTGCAGGCCGCCATGTTGTGGCTGGTATGATGTGGGTGGTATACTGCTAACTGGGTTGTCACCAAACAGGAACTGATGTGCCAGCGGGTATCGGAACTATTGTGTATTGCCAGTTGTGATCATGACTTTGTAGTGAGTTGTGTAATATGCATGTAAGAGGTTGATGAAAGACACACTGTGTGTGTCCGTGTGTGTCCATTAAATCCTGTGATTTATATGAATGGGTGTTTTGGGGGGACCAAAACATGGACAGCAAATATATTATTACTGAAAATCTTTTTTATGTTGACTTTTTGCTCTATAAATATTGTCATCTTGTCATCTTGTCATATTGTCGAGTTGTGTGGCTGTGCTGTACAAATATGGAACAGTTCCATACTGTTTTAGCTGATATAACAAGAAACATTTTTTTTAAAAACAAATCTGCAACTGTATTAGGTCAAGACGCCCATGGACCCCACAGGCATATTTCAATGATGGACAACTAACATGATGGACATAACTGCAGCGTTAATAACCAATGAATCATAAACTCCAGCATCAGCCTGCATGAATCACATAGCATCCTGATCAACATGTCTCCCTTGGTGTCCAGCCTATCTTGCCATCTAAGCAAGTCTGCGGACCACTCTGTTCAAATAGTGTCAGTGTATCTGTCACAGAAGCTGTGTCAGTCCATGGTGAAGATCCGCGAGGCAATGTCATCGATGACCCAGTCGATTCCTTCCAGCAGGTGTTGACCAGTCACAGCACTGCAGTCTTGGATCAGCCAGTGATGCGTCTTGATGTTGTCCAGCTCCAGAGCCTGACACACAATACCAGTAAACATGGTAACAAGTGACAACACAATAACACTCTACAAAATAACAGTGTCACATCAACATATCAAGTGAGTGAGTGTTTTGATAGGCATTACTTAGAAGTTAATGTATGACAAAGTAGACACAATTTATGGATAACAACTTCTTTAATACTGTAAAAAGCAACGTTTCAGTGTAGATCCTTATACCGTTGTCAAGCAGGACTGAATGAGGGACATTGTACAGAATATATATAGTAGGTGGAGGTGGAAATATCCCGCCCCATCAACACCAGAATAAAAGAGCACAAAACCTCAACCATCTCGGAGCATATCAGCAACTGTCCTGATCACAACATCAACCAGGACAACATCCAAATCCTCACCAACAACCTCCATGATTTAACTAAAAGAAAACTAACAGAAGCAGTCCATATTTGCCGCCACAAGCCATCAATCAACAGAGACCAAGGCTTTTTCATCCCATCCGCCTACTATGAACTCATCAAGAAATAATCACTGTTTTATTGGCTTCCACCTATGTGTTCTCTGTCCATCGCCTTTTTAACAGTATTATCCTTCTGTTGTCAACACTTACTCATGTTATCCCACTCATGTACACAATTGTGGTTACTGTTAATCCTCTACTGTTAATCCTCCACCTACTATATATTTTCTGTACAATGTCCCTCATTCAGTCTTGCTTGACAACGGTATAAGGATCTGTACCCAAACATCACTTTTTAAAGTATTAAAGAAGTTGTTATCCATAAATTGTGTCTACTTTGAGTGAGTTGGGTTTAACGCAGCTTTGAACAGTATTCCAGTTACATCACAGCATGTCAGGTTGATGTGGGAGAAAAGTCAGAAGTGATACAGGTCTTATATGTTCACCACTTTGGTGAAACCAACCAGCACCGGTATGGTGCTGACAAACCTAGAAACAAGATTATTTATAGGTTTCTGAACACACCACAGGTCGTTCTTGTCTTCAAAACCTATCACTTAAAGCATTGCGACGATGACCAACAACGCATCAGAGGCCATACTCACCTTCCGGATTTCATCTGATGTCAGTGCACCAGGCAAGTCCTGCTTGTTTGCAAACACCAAAAGTGTTGCTCCAGCTAGTCTCTGAAACATACATGAAGAAAATATACACGCAGAAACAAGACCTGACCTGATTATGCTTACAATAGTTAAATCAGTTAGAAAGGCACCAACTTTGAACTCTTCAGTAACCATCTGGGACAAATCATTGCTATTGGATGAGCCAAAATTATCAATCCCATTTTGAGGAAAATTAGCACAGACTAAGAAAGTCACTATTTTTTAAAGCCAGTGGCAAAAATAAATCATATTACTCAAGTATCCTATCCAAAGCCTCCTCCACCTCTAGTAGCTTCTCCTGTGGAGATCCGAGTTAGACTAGGTCCTCAGCCACCCATGGTTGCCATAATAAGCAACTATACTTGTCGTAAGAGGCTACTAACGGGATCGGGTGTCGTATCCCAATTGTCATATTGATGAAATATTGCTGAGTGTGGCGTTAAACTGAACTGACTGAGTATGGTTTAACGCCACTTTTAGCAATATTCCAGCAATATCACGGCAGGGGACACCAGAAATGGGCTTCACACATTGTACCCATGTCGGAAATCGAACCCGGGTCTTAAGCGTGATGAGCGAATGCTTTAACCACTGGGCTACTCGACCATCCTCCGGTAGCCTATCCTAAGCCTCATCTCCTCCAGTAGCCTATCCTAAGCCTCACATCCTCCGGTAGCCTATCCTAAGCCTCACCTCCTCCAGTAGCCTATCCCAAGCCTCACTTCCACAAGCCTATCCTAAGCCTCATCTCCTCCAGTAGCCTATCCTAAGCCTCACATCCTCCAGTAGCCTATCCTAAGCCTCGTCTCCTCCAGTAGCCTATCCTAAGCCTCACATCCTCCAGTAGCCTATCCTAAGCCTCACCTCCTCCGGTAGCCTATCCTAAGCCTCACTTCCACAAGCCTATCCTAAGCCTCACCTCCTCCAGTAGCCTATCCTAAGCCTCACATCCTCCAGTAGCCTATCCTCAGCCTCATCTCCTCCAGTAGCCTATCCTAAGCCTCACATCCTCCAGTAGCCTATCCTAAGCCTCACATCCTCCGGTAGCCTATCCTAAGCCTCACCTCCTCCGGTAGCCTATCCTAAGCCTCACCTCCTCCGGTAGCCTATCCTAAGCCTCACCTCCTCCAGTAGCCTATCCTAAGCCTCACTTCCACAAGCCTATCCTAAGCCTCACCTCCTCCAGTAGCCTATCCTAAGCCTCACTTCCACAAGCCTATCCTAAGCCTCACCTCCTCCAGTAGCCTATCCTAAGCCTCACTTCCACAAGCCTATCCTAAGCCTCACATCCTCCGTAGCCTATCCTAAGCCTCAACTCCTCCAGTAGCCTATCCTAAGCCTCACTTCCACAAGCCTAACCTAAGCCTCACATCCTCCAGTAGCCTATCCTAAGCCTCACCTCCTCCAGTAGCCTATCCTAAGCCTCACCTCCTCCAGTAGCCTATCCTAAGCCTCACCTCCTCCAGTAGCCTATCCCAAGCCTCACTTCCACAAGCCTATCCTAAGCCTCATCTCCTCCAGTAGCCTATCCTAAGCCTCACATCCTCCAGTAGCCTATCCTAAGCCTCACATCCTCCAGTAGCCTATCATAAGCCTCACATCCTCCAGTAGCCTATCCAAAGCCTCGTCTCCTCTGGTAGCCTATCCTAAGCCTCACATCCTCCGTAGCCTATCCTAAGCCTCACATCCTCCAGTAGCCTATCCTCAGCCTCATCTCCTCCAGTAGCCTATCCTAAGCCTCACATCCTCCAGTAGCCTATCCTAAGCCTCACATCCTCCGGTAGCCTATCCTAAGCCTCACCTCCTCCGGTAGCCTATCCTAAGCCTCACCTCCTCCGGTAGCCTATCCTAAGCCTCACCTCCTCCAGTAGCCTATCCTAAGCCTCACTTCCACAAGCCTATCCTAAGCCTCACCTCCTCCAGTAGCCTATCCTAAGCCTCACTTCCACAAGCCTATCCTAAGCCTCACCTCCTCCAGTAGCCTATCCTAAGCCTCACTTCCACAAGCCTATCCTAAGCCTCACATCCTCCGTAGCCTATCCTAAGCCTCAACTCCTCCAGTAGCCTATCCTAAGCCTCACTTCCACAAGCCTAACCTAAGCCTCACATCCTCCAGTAGCCTATCCTAAGCCTCACCTCCTCCAGTAGCCTATCCTAAGCCTCACCTCCTCCAGTAGCCTATCCTAAGCCTCACCTCCTCCAGTAGCCTATCCCAAGCCTCACTTCCACAAGCCTATCCTAAGCCTCATCTCCTCCAGTAGCCTATCCTAAGCCTCACATCCTCCAGTAGCCTATCCTAAGCCTCACATCCTCCAGTAGCCTATCATAAGCCTCACATCCTCCAGTAGCCTATCCAAAGCCTCGTCTCCTCTGGTAGCCTATCCTAAGCCTCACATCCTCCGTAGCCTATCCTAAGCCTCAACTCCTCCAGTAGCCTATCCTAAGCCTCACTTCCACAAGCCTAACCTAAGCCTCACATCCTCCAGTAGCCTATCCTAAGCCTCACCTCCTCCAGTAGCCTATCCTAAGCCTCACCTCCTCCAGTAGCCTATCCTAAGCCTCACCTCCTCCAGTAGCCTATCCCAAGCCTCACTTCCACAAGCCTATCCTAAGCCTCATCTCCTCCAGTAGCCTATCCTAAGCCTCACATCCTCCAGTAGCCTATCCTAAGCCTCACATCCTCCAGTAGCCTATCATAAGCCTCACATCCTCCAGTAGCCTATCCAAAGCCTCGTCTCCTCCGGTAGCCTATCCTAAGCCTCACATCCTCCGTAGCCTATCCTAAGCCTCAACTCCTCCAGTAGCCTATCCTAAGCCTCACTTCCACAAGCCTAACCTAAGCCTCACATCCTCCAGTAGCCTATCCTAAGCCTCACCTCCTCAAGTAGCCTATCCTAAGCCTCACTTCCACAAGCCTATCCTAAGCCTCACATCCTCCAGTAGCCTATCCTAAGCCTCAACTCCACAAGCCTGTCCTAAGCCTCAACTCCACAAGCCTATCCTAAGCCTCACATCCTCCGTAGCCTATCCTAAGCCTCAACTCCTCCAGTAGCCTATCCTAAGCCTCACTTCCACAAGCCTAACCTGAGCCTCACATCCTCCAGTAGCCTATCCTAAGCCTCACTTCCACAAGCCTATCCTAAGCCTCACCTCCTCCAGTAGCCTATCCTAAGCCTCACTTCCACAAGCCTATCCTAAGCCTCACCTCCTCCAGTAGCCTATCCTAAGCCTCACTGCCACAAGCCTATCCTAAGCCTCACATCCTCCGTAGCCTATCCTAAGCCTCAACTCCTCCAGTAGCCTATCCTAAGCCTCACTTCCACAAGCCTAACCTAAGCCTCACATCCTCCAGTAGCCTATCCTAAGCCTCACCTCCTCCAGTAGCCTATCCTAAGCCTCACCTCCTCCAGTAGCCTATCCTAAGCCTCACCTCCTCCAGTAGCCTATCCCAAGCCTCACTTCCACAAGCCTATCCTAAGCCTCATCTCCTCCAGTAGCCTATCCTAAGCCTCACATCCTCCAGTAGCCTATCATAAGCCTCACATCCTCCAGTAGCCTATCCAAAGCCTCGTCTCCTCTGGTAGCCTATCCTAAGCCTCACATCCTCCGTAGCCTATCCTAAGCCTCAACTCCTCCAGTAGCCTATCCTAAGCCTCACTTCCACAAGCCTAACCTAAGCCTCACATCCTCCAGTAGCCTATCCTAAGCCTCACCTCCTCCAGTAGCCTATCCTAAGCCTCACCTCCTCCAGTAGCCTATCCTAAGCCTCACCTCCTCCAGTAGCCTATCCCAAGCCTCACTTCCACAAGCCTATCCTAAGCCTCATCTCCTCCAGTAGCCTATCCTAAGCCTCACATCCTCCAGTAGCCTATCCTAAGCCTCAACTCCACAAGCCTGTCCTAAGCCTCAACTCCACAAGCCTATCCTAAGCCTCACCTCCTCCAGTAGCCTATCCTAAGCCTCACTTCCACAAGCCTATCCTAAGCCTCACATCCTCCGGTAGCCTATCCTAAGCCTTGTCTCCTCCAGTAGCCTATCCTAAGCCTCACATGCTCCGGTCGCCCATCCTAAGCCTCGTCTCCTCCGGTAGCCTATCCTTAGCCTCACCTCCTCCAGTAGCCTATCCTAAGCCTCACCTCCTCCGGTAGCCTATCCTAAGCCTCACATCCTCCGGTAGCCTATCCTAAGCCTCCACCTACTCCAGTAGCCTATCCTAAGCCTCACCTCCTCCAGTAGCCTATCCTAAGCCTCGTCTCCTCCGGTAGCCTATCCTAAGCCTCGTCTCCTCCAGTAGCCTATCCTAAGCCTCGTCTCCTCCGGTACCCTATCCTAAGCCTCACCTCCACTGGTAACCTATCCTAAGCCTCTCCTCCTCCGGTAGCCTATCCTAAGCCTCCACCTACTCCAGTAGCTTATCCTGAGCCTCCACCTACTCCAGTAGCTGATCTTCCACTAACCTCCTCGAGGAGCAGTGCCTGCAGCTCCTGCTTACAATCCTGAAGTCTCATCCTGTCTGCACTGTCTACCACCCAGATCAGGCCATCAGTGCTCTCAAAGTAGTTCCGCCAGTACGAGCGTAATGATTTCTGTCCGCCCACATCCCAGACATTTAGTTTAAACCTGCAATAAAAGTACACATTCATGATTCTACTCAGATTTATTCAACAGCTGCTAATATGACTATCAAGGAAGCAAATCCCTGGACAAGACCAGTATAAATGGACCATAAAATGTCACCATGACAACAGTTAGGGAGTGAGTTCAGTTTAAACGCAACTTTAAAACTTTTAAAGCAGACATGCCTTGAAATAAATGTAATTAAGTTTTAAAGTTGCGTTTAAACTTAATTACATTTATTTCAAGGCATGTCTGCTTACATGGAAAGGCAAAAGTGACACGTCCTCAACATTTACTACTTTGGTGAAACCAGAAAGCACAATTATGGTGCTGACAGATCAAGAATCAAGGTGAACTCGGGATTAGAACCCAACTCTGCACAATGAATTCCAGTGCCTTGGACAGACCACTGTGCCACCAGTGCCCAGTACACTACTGAAGAGTACGGTATAATAGTTGCCAGCAGTCTGTACTCTCTCTGTTCTAATGTTTTGATAATAAAGCCAAATGTTCCAGATATTATCCTCACAAGTGTTTTGTCATTTTCGGATAAATCTTTCTCTCTTCCAATGAAAACGAGCAAAATTAAAATGATATCCTGTGCGACAACGGGGAGTTGGCGATAATTTATAGCCAGTAGCAATACAGTCTAAATAGTTTTGGTAAATAATTTGTTTACGAAATGTTGTGTCACATGATATGCAAATTAGGTGTAATGCCACGTCACCACTGCGCCGGAAATTAGCTTTTTGTCCGTCATCCTTTTGCCGGATCATGGTTTGTCAGATTACAACAATGGGTACCGTTTTTCAGATGGAAATCGCGCGGGTGTTAAAAATATTGAACTTCGTGGACATATCGTGCTTGGTTACCACATGTGACAAAGATTTCTCATGTATATATTCTGGCATTAAACAACGTGTCCGTGCCAATAACTCAAGGTGACAAATGCCGACTGACATGACTAACATCCCACGAACGTCTTTCGCATGCTCAAATTATTCCGTACCGTATCGCCACATAATAAAGTAGCGGAAGGGAACATTGAGGTGAGTATCGCCATCACACACACATATATATGCTTTCACCAGTTCACAATTAAAATCGCTAATAAAATACCACATGTTCCCCCAATTTCCAACATATTTCTCCTGCTTTCAATCTTTCTGAAAATGTATTTTCTTGGGGAATGTAATTTTCGATTCAATTGTGTGGCGGCAGATTTATATATAATAAAATCCCACATACATGTTTGTCAGGCGATATCCACGGAAACCAACCGCGTTATCTTGTTTTAATATATTGAAATTTGCTGTCTCAATTCCAACACATTTCTCCTTTTTTTTCGCCACTGCGTTACAGTGTTCCGTAAGCATTTGCGATTCTCATGTTATCAAAATTGTCATACATAATTCATGGATTCAAGAAAATGCCATAATTCCCTGTATAAACAACTAAAAATTCTCGTGCAAAATTCGTGGGTTCGAGGAAATGCTGGCTTTGATTTTTTAATGAGGTGCCATAAATCACTGTATAAACAACTTGGTGACACTGACAAGTTTATTACATAAACAGAACACCTGCCCGACATTCTCATTACATAACATTTCCTGTGTGTTACAGCAAAGATCACGATTGTATTTGTAGGAATTACCATAATTAATTCACATGGTGTAACTTGCGTTGACAATACGATGAGACCTGACATTAGGCACATGTAGTCAGCTGATCCGGTCGAAGAACTCTCAAGTGGTCTGCACCTCCCGTAAAGGAGCTCTCAAAATGTGACGAAAAGTCTTTTCTTGGATACCTAAGACAGTCAAAGCTCTTGAGAATTTCCTTATTCTCTCTCCAATGTCTTTTTGGTTGAAGGCAACATTGTATTACGCTTAATAATGACGATGTACTTATAGGTGTATATTTTATTGGTGCTTCTTCTTCTTGGCAGCTGATGGTAAATAAGCCGCACTCGGCTATCTCCCTTGAACGCACCCGAACGGCTTGCCCACCAATTCCAACACATTTCTCCTGCTTTTGATATTTTTTCGCCACCGCGTTATGCATGGAAGTTGGGGAAAAACATCGCGTTACGGTGCGTTATAGTATTCCTTGTGCATTTGTGATTCTAATGATATAAGTTTTATTACAAAATTCATCACATGAAGTTTGCAGTTGCCAATTGAAATTACCCTACTGTTTTGCATCATTTTTTTTAACATTTTCCCTTTCTAAGTCAAGATTACTGTTAATTTTTTTTTCAAAAGTACACTAATACAAACATTATGAATGTATGTTACTATTTGTGTCTTTCTTCACGCAAATTAATACTCTTTTGATACGAAAAAGGGGGAAAAAATGTAAAAACAGGCCAAACTGAATTTCTACACTGAGTTATGGGAATTGAATTGCCGCGCGGGGAAGAGGCCACCCTAACTGTATACCTACCCTCTATGTTCCAATGTCTTGATATTGAAGCCAAGTGTTGGAGATATTGTGTCAATGTCTTCACCGTTGAATTTCTTCAAGATGGTTGTCTTCCCAGCATTGTCCAAACCTCTGACAACCGTCAAGGTATTTTGACATAATTTCAACAATTGTACATGGCTGAACGGCCAGAGAACCTCCTCAATTAATACACTGCTTGCTCATGTTTGTTGTTTAATGCCGCACTCAGCAATCTGTAAATAATCAAGTCTGGACAAGACAATCCAATGATTGACATCATGAGCATCAATCCACGCAATTGGGATGCAATGACATGCATCAACCAAGTCAGCAAGCCTGACCTCCCGATCCTGTTAGTCGCCTCTTACGACAGGCATAGTCACCATTCATCATATTCATGGCAAGCACCTATTCTACCCCGGATCTTCACGGGTCAGCTTGTTCATAGCTGTATTTCCAAAAGTCAGTCTTTTGTTAAGGTTTCATTTTACTTTAAATACAAATCATTAAAAATACTATTTATGTGACCATGAGAGGTTTGCCATGCTGGTGAAACCCAAGATCATGTGTATGGTGACTGACCAGGATGTCGTAACTAGCGACGAAGAGTTTAAGATAAAGCACCGGATCCTTGCAAGGTAAAGGGGTGTAACTCTGAACAGTGTCTCTTGTTCAATTGTTCAACCAAACCACTTTTGGAATATTGCAATAACAAGAAGGTTCAAAAGACGTGTGACAACGAACAAGATTTATAGGCCTAAACAGTTACCGAGCTAGGCCATAGTCAGGGGGTGCTATAGATCTACTGGATCATTGTCAAAAAGGATACAGCATAAGCAGACGAACTTCTTTTTCTTTCTGCTTCATTTTCTTCAGAATTGTCAATAGCCCCATCGTTAATTTGAAGTAATAATCCAATAAATAACACCTAGATTTCAGTCATTCTTCGTGAATCATAGCTATTTTGAAAGGGAACTCTCTCGACTTGGAGGAGTGAACATAATGGGTGTATACAAATAATACATATACGGAACACGGAATGACATTTATTTAAGATTAGCATTGTCTTTCGTTGACATTTCAAACTATCAAAAAGTAACGCCATTTTGTTTTTAATCTCTCTATATAATTGCGTTTGATGACTTTGAGCGTTATTTCAATTCCCGACTGGAGTTTAAGTTTTGTAATGGTCCATTTCCTGTTTGGGTTGTACTTCCGGCGTAACCTAACGAAAATGGGTCGAGTCAGTATACGTCCCTTTCCCAGACCAGGCCACAGCGCTACGTTTATCGAGTGGTATACATCTTGCAAGGGACGCGACTCTTCCCATTAATTACTTGCGCTCAGTGCTACTGTCATGGCGGATCTGTTTACGCATTTGTTTACTGTCGAAGGTCGGCTTGTTGTTATATTAACGTACAGATCGCTAACTATAACTGCCAGGAAGTCTCTTAGGTGGGTTATGGTCGGTTTTATTGTGGTTGTGTCAACAGTGCGAATGCTAAATTTGTTTGCCACCAAGTATGATTAAAATCGATATGGCTCAAGACATATCTTTTAGTATCTTATGTTATCCACGCGTGCCTCTTAGATCCTTTGGGTTAGTTGTGTCAGATTTGTTTGTTTGTTGTTGTTTAACGAAGCACTCACCAATATTTCAACTCAACTAAATGACGGCGGTCTGTAAATAATCGAGTTTGCTCATGTATTGTCATTTTAGCCATTAATAATAAGCGGCACTGCTTTTCAACCAAACCTTGTGAAATCATTTTATACCACCCGTTATTATTTTTTGTGTATCATGCACAATGTTAGACAAAAGGATGTGTTGAAAGTCTCTATGTTCTAACACTCATATGTTGAGTTTGTGTTCTGTTTCCAAAATAGAAAACACTACCATTTAACACTGCAAATTAGGGCTGGGACGGGTGACTCGGGTACTCGAGTCTTGTGGGCCCTGAATAGGACCCGGGTACCCACAGGACTACCCAGACCCGTGGTTAGTCACGTTATATTTTGTTTAAAGACAAAAACATACTATAGCTCAATGGTTACACTACAAGTCGCTAATGTTAAGATTATTTTCTGACGATGCACTCATTCCTTTTGACTTGTAAATGTTTGAGTAAAAATAAAGCTTCAGTCAACTTCAGTGTATGCATGATCTGATTGTTTGATACATGTATCTGAATAGCTTTAGCCAGGGCTGCGGTAAAACAATTACCAATCTGACATTTTGTTCCCTACTCTTGAGACTTACAGTGGGTACCCGGGTAATAGGGGATCGGGTAACCGGGTAGTAAATTTGAACTCGTCCCAGCCCTACTGTAAATATATCACAAAATAAATGCTTCAATAACTGCAAACTGTGAAAAGTTTTATTGTGGTATGGTACTTAGTTTTAAGTCTTAATTTCATTCCATCTGTGCTTTAAACTTAAATTTACAAATAAAGCGTGTGTGACAGTGTTAATGCACTTTTACACTTCCCAATACAAGGAATAAAATCTGGTATTCAAGTTTCAGTGAATGTTACTTTTGTTAGAAATACAGTCAAAATCAATTGGGTTTCTGTCACTTGCAGAACTACAACAATGGATCATCTCAAGCATGACAAGTACATCCTTAATATCAGAACTCAGCTATTTATCATATCTAGCTTGTGACAATTTTAACATGATATTCTCGTTTCACATTTGTCAACTGAATAATGTGTTATAGTTCACAAGAAAATTAAGTTAGCCAGTCAGGCAACCTTAATGTTATTTCCATGAGCCCTGCTTGAAATTAATGGTTTCTTAACCATAAAAGGTCGGGGATTTAATCTTTCCGAGGACATTTTCTAGTGTGACTTATAACTTGAAAACTACAGCATAGATTCTTCTCAAACTTTGTGTATTAATAGGACAGGTGCTGTGTGAGGTTTGATTTCAATTTTTGGATTTTCTGAAAAAATACAGCTGTTTTTCATTGGGTTACTTATATTTTTTCTACTTAAACATTTTAAGCACTGCATGCATTCTTTTGAAATTTAGGGAACAGTTTCCATACTAAAATAGAGGAGGTGCAGTGCACAGTTTGATAAGTGGAATTTCTCAGAAAATATACCCGTATCTTGTTTCATGTTTTCAACTTAGAAATATTTTTATACCCCTGACCTAAAAGCTTCAAAAGGGCAGCGCATCATATTTAGGACATAAACATACTGTGTTTTCAATGTAGAGCTAGGTTACCTGTAGATTTAACCATGCTAAATTGAATTTGGAACCAAAAGCGCAGCATGAGGTTTCAAATATTAAATCTCCATTCTACCACGACTAAATAAAATGCCAACTCTTTTGTAATACAAAAATATATTGAGTGAAGTGGCATGGGTTGAGTCCAGTATTTTGAGTGGGTTGTTGATCTGAATTTACGGAATCCCTGACAACAGCCTGTAAACACAATATGGTGCTCTATATGTCCAGCAGTTCCTTTACACTGTAATACTTCACACAAACTTATCATACCTTATCATATTGCTTGTCTATTGAATGTAGGAAGTAATCGTCGCTACCTCCACAACTGTTGTAATATATTTATTATTTTTACTATGTATGACTCCTACTGGTCACTCTACACATTAATATATCAAAGAAACATCCCTGTGTGTTTTCCAATATCAATTAAACAGGAGACGAACACTGGTCGCGGAAAGGGACAACTACAGACTTTTCATATTGCTTGTATGTAGCACGTGGGTAAAAAATCGTCGCTACCTCCACAACTGTTGTAATATATTTATTAATTTTACTATGTATGACTCCTACTGGTCACTCTACACATTAATATGTCAAAGAAACATCCCTGTGTGTTTTCCAATATCAATTAAACCGGAGACGAACACTGGTCGCGGAAATGGACAACTACAGACTTTTCATATTGCTTGTATGTAGCGCGTGGGTAAAAAATCGTCGCTACCTCCACAACTGTTGAAATATAATGATTATTTTTACTATTTATGACTCCTACTGGTCAGTATACACATTATTATAAAAAAGAACCATCGCTGTGTGTTTTCCAATATCAATTAAACAGGAGACGAACACTGGTCGCGGAAAGGGACAACTACAGACTTTTCATATTGATTGGATATGGCGCGTGGGTAAATAGTGGTCACTACGTCCACAGCTGTTGTAATATATTTATTATTTTTACTATGTATGACTCCTACTGGACCGTCTACACATTATTATGTAAAAGAAACATCCCTGTGTGTTTTCCAATATCAATTAAACGGGAGACGAACATTGGTCGCGGAAAGGGACAACTGCAGACTTTTCACATTGCTTGTCTATTCAGTGTAGGAAATAATCGTCGCTACCTCCACAACTGTTGTAATATTTTTATTATTTTTACTATGTATGACTCCTACTGGACCGTCTACACATTATTATGTAAAAGAAACATCCCTGTGTGTTTTCCAATATCAATTAAACAGGAGACGAACACTGGTCGCGGAAAGGGACAACTACAGACTTTTCACATTGCTTGTCTATTCAGTGTAGGAAGTAATCGTCACTACCTCCAGAACTGTTGTAATATATTTATTATTTTTACTATGTATGACTCCTACTGGACCGTCTACACATTATTGTACAAACGAAACATCCCTGTGTGTTTTCCAATATCAATTAAACAGGAGACGAACACTGGTCGCGGAAAGGGACAACTACAGACTTTTCACATTGCTTGTCTTTTCAGTGTAGGAAATAATCGTCGCTACCTCCAGAACTGTTGTAATATTTTTATTATTTTTACTATGTATGACTCCTACTGGACCGTCTACACATTATTATGTAAAAGAAACATCCCTGTGTGTTTTCCAATATCAATTAAACAGGAGACGAACACTGGTCGCGGAAAGGGACAACTACAGACTTTTCACATTGCTTGTCTATTCAGTGTAGGAAGTAATCGTCACTACCTCCAGAACTGTTGTAATATATTTATTATTTTTACTATGTATGACTCCTACTGGTCACTCTACACATTATTATATCAAAGAAACATCCCTGTGTGTTTTCCAATATCAATTAAACGGGAGACGAACACTGGTCGCGGAAAGGGACAACTACAGACTTTTCATATTGCTTGCTTATAGCATGTGGGTAAATAGTGGTCACTACCTCCACAACTGTTGAAACATAATGATATGACTCCTACTGGACCGTCTACACATTATTATATAAAAGAAAGATCGCTGTGTGTTTTCCAATATCAATTAAACAGGAGACGAACACTGGTCGCGGAAAGGGACAACTACAGACTTTTCATATTGATTGGATATGGCGCGTGGGTAAATAGTGGTCACTACGTCCACAGCTGTTGTAATATATTTATTATTTTTACTATGTATGACTCCTACTGGACCGTCTTCACATTATTATGTAAAAGAAACATCCCTGTGTGTTTTCCAATATCAATTAAACAGGAGACGAACACTGGTCGCGGAAAGGGATAACTACAGACTTTTCATATTGATTGTCTGTTGAGTGTAGGAAGTAATCGTCGCTACCTCCAGAACTGTTGTAATATATTTATTATTTTTACTATGTATGACTCCTACTGGTCACTCTACACATTATTATATCAAAGAAACATCCATGTGTGTTTTCCAATATCAATTAAACGGGAGACGAACAGTGGTCGCGGAAAGGGACAACTACAGACTTTTCATATTGCTTGCTTATAGCATGTGGGTAAATAGTGGTCACTACCTCTACAACTGTTGAAACATAATGATATGACTCCTACTGGTCACTCTACACATTATTATACAAAAGAAAGATCCCTGTGTGTTTTCCAATATCAATTAAACAGGAGACGAACACTGGTCGCGGAAAGGGACAACTACAGACTTTTCATATTGATTGGATATGGCGCGTGGGTAAATAGTGGTCACTACGTCCACAGCTGTTGTAATATATTTATTATTTTTACTATGTATGACTCCTACTGGACCGTCTACACATTATTGTACAAACGAAACATCCCTGTGTGTTTTCCAATATCAATTAAACAGGAGACGAACACTGGTCGCGGAAAGGGACAACTACAGACTTTTCACATTGCTTGTCTTTTCAGTGTAGGAAATAATCGTCGCTACCTCCACAACTGTTGTAATATTTTTATTATTTTTACTATGTATGACTCCTACTGGACCGTCTACACATTATTATGTAAAAGAAACATC